TCTTGACATTGAAAAAAGCAGAGGAATTATATTATATGCAGAAGTCAAGAGTTCAGGTTATCAAAGAAGGGGATTCTAATACTTCATTCTTCCATAAAACTGTTAAGGTAAAGATTCAAAGGCAGCAGATAACTCGCATGTTGAATGAGCAAGGTGAGGTAACAACAGATATTCAGCAAATTGGGGCAGTTGCAGTGGAATTTTATACAAAACTCATTGGTACTGAGGACTTGAATGTAGAACAATAGTTTGTGGCTTACTATTAAGTATTAAGAACTTTTGCAGCATAAGCTTTCAATTGAAGACAAGGAATTGCTAATGTCTGGTATCTCAAGGGCTGAAGTAAAGCAGGCATTTCTTAAGTTTGGAAAGGATAAGGCTCCATGGCCTGATGGATTCCCTGCTGAGTTCTTTACAACTCATTGGGACATTATTGGCAGAGAAGTTGAGGAGGTACTACTGGATTTCTTTTCCACTGGTTTTATGCCATCTATAGTGAACAATACTATCTATACCTTGGTAGCAAAGATCCCTAGTGCTGAGAAAATGAAAGATTTTAGGCCTATTGCTTGTTGCAACACTCTTTACAAAGGTATCTCGAAAATTCTTGCAAATAGGTTAGCTCTGTTGCTTCCTAGTGTTATTAGTCGATCTCAAAGGGCCTTTATTAAAGGTAGAGCAATAAGTGACAATATTTTGCTAGTGTATGAGCTTGTGAAGGACTATCATCGAAAGAACATAACTCCCCAGATGTGTGGTTAAAATAGACATAATGAAAGCTTTTGACTCTATAAAGTGGGGCTTTCTTTTTACGGTTATGGAAGTTATGGGATTCCCTGATGGATATCTAAAGTTGATGTCTGCTTGTGTCACTAAACCAACAATCAAGGTGTCTGTTAATGGTGGTCTGTGTGGTAGTATTCGAGCTTACAAAGGTCTAAGACAGGGAGATCCATTATCTCCCTATCTTTTTACCATTGCCATGGAAATCCTCCATTGTTTGGCAAGTAAGGCAATTCGGGACAACCAGATTCCTTTTCATCCTAGATGTAAACCCCTCAAGATTACACACTTGTGCTTCGCGAATGATCTGATGATGTTCACAAATGGATCTATTAGGGGTGTGGCAGGTATAAGAAGGTTAATGGACTGGTTTTATAAGCTATCAGGGTTGAAGTGTAATGCTTCCAAGTGCTAGTTATATTGTGCAGGGATACCACAGGAAGAGAAGCAAGCTATTTCTGATTATACTGAGTTTCCTCTTGGTGAACTTCCTGTCAAATACCTAGGTGTTCCACTCATTTCTGGGAAGCTTAATCAAAAGGATTGTCAAGTCCTTATTGACAAGATTACACAGAGGTTTCGTAGCTGGAGATCTAGACTGTTAAGCTATGCAGGCAAAATTCAACTGATATCTACTGTGATTGCAAGTACACTGCAGTATTGGCTCAACATTTTTCTTTTGCCTCAGTATATTATTAAGGAAGTTGAGCATTTGTGTAATGAGTTTTTGTGGGATTCTGCTAAGAACAGGTCCAGAAAGAGAGTTGTCATGTCTTGGGATAAGATTGCACTGCCTAGGAAGGAGGGGGACTGGGAATTCGCAATTTCAGTATGTGGAATAGAGCTTGTGTGCTAAGGAACATTTGGGAAATCCTGACATCATGAGGGTCATTAATTATGGGTTGGGTCAACATATATAGGCTAAAGCAGAAGTCCATCTAGAAAATCTCTGGTTCTTCTGCTGGCACTTGGATTTGGAAGGGATTCCTGAAATGCAGAGACTTGGCTTACTCCTTCATTTCTGACAATATTCCTCATGTCCTTTGGGAGGGGGAAAAGATGCAGCGATACTTAGTGACTAGGTTATGGAACTCTATTCGAACTCATGAGCAGGAAGTGCCCTGGTGGAAAATTGTCTGGGCAAAGGAGAATATTCCAAATCATGGATTTATCCTATGGCTAGCTTTACGTGATAAACTAGTCACTCTGGACAAGCTTATATCGTGGGGGAAACCATTAACAGACCATTGTTTGCTCTGTCCAGGAGGTATTGAGAATATGGATCATCTATTGGTTTCTTGTTCTTATACAGGTTGGGTGATGAAGCAGTGCTTGAAGAATCTATCTCCTCCCACTAAAGGGCACTGGGATAGTATGGTTGCTTGGTGTGTGCAGCATTGGAGGGGGAAGAAGCCAAGCCAGGTTTTATGCAGGTTGGTTTGGAGCTCGCTAGTCAGCCATGTCTGGCGGGAGCGTTGTACCCGTTTGTATGGAGCAAAGGGAATTAAAAGCCCACGGGAGTTAGTGAAAGTGATAAACACAAAAGTTTGTACCGTGTTTCTGGGGATTCTGCTCTCCAGACTGAGTTAGACCATATAGAAAGCTTATAGTTGATAGATTCATAGAGTGGTAACGTTTTTGTTTACTGGTTGTAAAGGTTTAGAGGCTCATCAGGTTTTTCTACTTCTGATGTTAGCCAAAGCTTAATGAAAGTTTTTTTTATTTCTCATAAAAAAAGTATACAAAGAACAACATAAAGTATAAAAACTAGACAAACAAATATTACAAATTAAAAGGTGTACAAATTAGTCATATAAACATTAAAAACATAATAGATAAAAATAACAAACTAGAATTATAAATGATACAAAACGAATTGATACAAAATCACAAAACATACTTACAAACATTACAAAATCGTCCGACAAACATAACAAAATAGACGTTGTCGCCGGAAAATCTCTCATCGCCGTCGCCAAAAAATTCATCGATGATGAATTTATCTCTCTCTCCCCCTCTCTTTCTCTCTCTCTCGTTTGGGCACTTAGGGGAAATTCCCTTAAAAAGGTGCCCGGCGGTCGGGGTGGGGAAATTATTCTCAGGGAATGGCCAAAATAAATCCACGATTCTATAGGGGAAATCGGCGGCAGCAATTTCCCCGACGAGAAGGTTATTTCTCGCAGGAGGGAGCTTATATTTTTTATTTATTTATTATTTTAATTAATAAATTAAATAATCATTATTACTATATTACTCTTCATTAAATTGAATTAATTGGAGCCTTTTGATTTTAATGAAGTGGAACCAGATCTTAGCTCACGCGGGGCAGCTGTACTATTGGTCTCTCACTCCTCCAGCATATATGGGCTCAGCCCACAAACTGAGAGGCCGGTTCAATTATGGGCTGAGATACCCAGCTTTCAGCTTTGCTTTGGGTAGCAGAGCCGGGCCCATAAATATTTTCCCTCTTCCCTCTCTCTCTCTCTCTCTCTAGTCTACAATTCGTTTTACAGAGAATCAATTTGTCATTTCTCTGAGGAGCCAAACAACCGGAGAAGAAAGAAAAATGAGCAGCCTATCAATCGGTCCGTTAATTCAGTTGGGATACAACAGTCGCCGTCTCCCTGGCAATCGAATCAGAAAATCCATCGGAATCCGGGCCGACGGCTTCCCAGCGAGCAAAGATCAGCAGGAGCAGCTCAACGTCTCCGTTCTCCGCTTCACATTCGGTAAGTAGAACCAGTCGTCTGTTACCTTTAGCTCTTCTCCTGGCTGCTACTAATGGCTGGCTGGCTGACTGGCTGACTGGCTTGATAGGTATTCCTGGATTGGACGAGACCTACCTGCCGAGATGGATAGGATACGGATTCGGCTCACTTCTTCTATTGAACCACTTCGTCGGCTCCGATTCCGCCGCTACCTCGGCGCAGCTGGTAAGAGATTGATTTGCTCTTTTCTCCCCGCACGTTGAATTGTTAGTGCCGGAATTCTTCTGGAACTATGGGATGGTGGTGCAGGTACGGATTTCTGAGTTTGGTTCTATGGTTTTTGTTTTAGAGGACGGAGGGTTTGGGGCTTTCCTTGGCAGCTTTCTCCATCGCTCTTCCTTACTTAGGCAGATTTCTCAAGGTGATTTTGCTTCGTCTTGTTTTCTGTATGCTGTTAGCTGGAATTTACTTAATCACGTGTGTGTTGTGAATCTCTCGCGGGAGTAGGGTGCCACTAGAGTGGACCAGGTGGCTCTTCCTGAAGGTGCTCGGCAGATTTTTGTAATGTCGCCTGCCATTTCTGACGATGAGAAGGAGGAATTTGCTTGGGGGAGTTATGTTTTGCTGCGTAATACGAACACCGTAGCTGTGGTAGGTTGCATTCCGAGTTCAGCGGGTGAAAGATTGCAAGCATATGGAACACTAATTTCTTTGGTTTCTGTTCTCCTACATCTGTAGTTGATATCAATCCAAAGAGAATTGTGTGTTCGTGGGTACTGGAATGTGCCGTATGCTGAGGATGCTGAAAAAGCTCCTGTTCTTGATTGGTTCCAGAGACAGACTGAAAATATCGGTTTGGGAGACTTGAAAGACGTCCTGTATTTTCCCCAGGTGCCAGGTAAACTGTGAACTAGATTCTTGGTTTTATTTCCTGGTTTCCTTTTTAGGGTGGAATTCCAAACCCCAGTATCAGTACGGTGAATTGGTGATGTCTTGTATCAGGATCTGAACTCTGGGAGATGCTACCCAATGGGACTCGGTCACTGCTGGTGGTGCCGGTGCTTCAATCTAGAGATCAAAGTGGCAATGAAATAGTAAAGAACAGAGGGTTTGTTATGTTGGCTTCGAACATTGAGTATGCATATACTGAGAAAGACCGAGCGTGGATAAAAGTAATTGCAAACAAGTTCAGAGGTGAGAACGCTTGTTCCAAACTCTGACATATGTTAATTGATTTTCAGCATCAAGTCAGTATAAATGTTGGATCGATAGCCAACAATGCGTGCTTCTCCTGCCTTTTTGTGAATGGCATGTTGCTGGATTGTGATAGGGCAGCTTTATAAATGGAATGGTCAGCTTAAACAGTAGTGGAGCATCCTTAGTTCAGAATCACTGGTCCTTAATACTTCTCTGTGATAGTGCAGTTTTATAAACGGTCAGTTTAAAACTCAAATGCCAATAACTGGGGAGGTTGAACCAAAAATTTCGAGGATCAAAGGAACCTTGACACTATCATGTTTAATTGCTCCTCTTATCCAACACGTTTCGCTAGTGTGGAACAGATATAGATTTAATATACTCATCTCTCTACTAAACAGTATCCTCTTCTCTGCTGTGTTCCCTTTTTGAAAAAGCCCAGTCTGCAGAAGACATGTTTTCTTCAACTGCTTGTTTGCTTCCAGTAATGAGGGAACTTTACTAGTTTCCTACAAAAATTTCTCCAGGCCGTACACTAGATTCTGCCACAATAACAATATGATGGTGTTACTAAGCAGTACATCATTGATAGCACAGCATCTCAATAGAGCAGTAGAAAGTAGAGAGGATTTTACCTTAAGACGGATCACCTTTCTAATTGCCAAGATTAGACCAGGCATAAGGCTCTGCACGCCTGTTATGTCATGCTTGACGGAGTAAACCTGTGGGTTTAGGAACATGAAGTCACATGTGTCAAGCTACAGATGCATTCGCATAATAATGTTTCTGATGTTTGACCAGATACAAACCTCTCCTGGGCCAGAGAAGTAAACTGTTGTGCTGGAAGGGAGCCCTGGTAGTACCATACTGTGCACCCTGACCCCATCTTCTCCAAGAACTTGTCCCCTTGCCTATGTAGGATCAAATGCAAAGGAGTAGTCTACTCATTACTAATTTTAGACTAGACATCACATCATATGGATTCAATGATCCATAAAATCTCACTTGGTTCTGCCATATTTGTCGCCAACCAAGCAACATTTTAGTTTCCATTGTTGTGATTAATATAAAACACTTTTCTAGTTTTCTTTTTATCTTTTACCATCATTCCAGCTGGTACTATAAGCGAAATGAGGTTTTCAGTACTATTTATCACTGGTATCTGTTCTGTTTTTGTTTTGAAATTCAGCTTACCGCAACATCTGTTGTTATATCTCCCTTGTTGTAGATCTGCCCCAGGTTGGAGAGGTTTTTTGCAATTTGGACAGCATCTGCTGATGGAAGGTCCTGCATGAGTGAGACACATTTACATTATTCACTACTTCTTGCACGAGGTCAGTGTTCGTGAACCTTATTCTGTCTTCTGGATAAGGCTTGGAAGTGTTTTATTCATCGACAAGCTTTGCTGTATTATTTACTATACTAGCATGGCTGATGTTGGTGTTAATTACTGAAAACATACTGTTCTTACAGTTGCATCTGCTGCTGATTCCAGGATTTCTACATTGTTGTAGTGGAAGGAAGCTGAAATAGCTGCTTGCTGGAGGAGAATCGATCCGATTGATAGAGTTGGCGCAACCAGACACCCCTGTAAGTTTGCAAACCACAACTTGAAGTCTTGAATCCAAAGCCACAAAACTTGATATTAACTGCAGAAAGTACCAACCACAAAATAAAATATGAACATTTTCTCACCCTGTGCTCACCATGCTGGCCTTATCACAGAATGCTGACAATGCCCCTACGGTGTCTACTTTAATCCGGGGCACATACACCACACTTCTCATCCCAAATGCCGTCGCCTGGTATGCAAAATTCGATCACAACTTAGCACTTAAACACCTACGCCGTAACCACAGTCTAAAAGCTCTCTCCTTTGATTTCACAGTGCAGCCAAGTTCATGGAAAAGAGAGCAAAAATACCTGCTTGACATTATCGTAAACCGTGGAAGGATCAGTGAAGTCAACAACCACTCCTGTCTCTTTCGACTGCCATAATATGCAGAAAGCTTCTTATCATCATCAGTTCTTCACTAGCATTTCCCATTCATGGATATGAACGAATGGACAAACAAGACAATCGCCATTTTACCTGAGATATGGAACCTAGAACCATGGTGAGATCATTTATCACTGGTATTTCCAGCGGTTCTTCCATGTCACAGAGCTACCTCCGGAAACACACAAAAGCAGGATGAAAATTCCTTCCTCCAATTCTTTTGCCATTGCCGAAGAAGGGAAAAGAAAGAAAAAACAGTGAGGAAAAAACCTTTCCAATATCTTCTCCGACAAATTGTTTGTCAACAGCACCAGCTTTGAGGGCTTCACTATGGCTACTGGAGAAATTGGATGGAGCTCTTCATTGGATCCATATATCCTAATTTGTGGAACATAGTGATGGATGGTCATCTCGAAGTGAAAGAAGCTCAAGGAAAATGGACAGAGGCTGACAAGAAAAATTTCCAGCTCCATTCGAAGGCAACAACCTGATTTACTGTGCATTAGGGCCAGAGAAGTATCATAGAGTGACCGGCTTCAAAACGGCAAGAGAATTTTGGACAAGTTTCAAGTCGCACACAAAGGTACCTCTCATGTCAAGATTTCAAGAATAAACAGTCTAAAGCAGGAATTCGAGTCGTTTATCATGAAGCCTGAAGAATCAATTAAGGAGATGAATGATCGATTTACTACCGTAGTCAATAGTCTGAGAAACTTAGATGTCAAATATGATAGTGCTAGTCTGGTTTGCAAAGTTCTTTGGGCACTCCCCAAGAAATGGACTCCCAAAGTCACCGCAATTGAAGAGTCCAAGGATCTCCCCAAGTTAAGCATGGACGAGCTGATTGGTTCCCTAGTCACGCATGAAGAAAATCAAAAGAGGGAAGACTTGGACAAACCAAAAAGAGAGAAAAGGGTATAGCTTTCAAAGCTACGTCTCAAGAAGATGACTTGGACTGCCTAGAAGAAATGCGGGATGGTGAGCTTGCTATGCTCAGCAAGCACGTTGCGAAGCTTCTCAGAATAAGAAGAGAAAAGAAAAGAGGAAGGTTCCCCAGCAGATCAAAGGAAGGTGAAATGATAAAGAACCCAACAAAGGAGGTCGATAAGGGTTCAGGAATAGAAGAGAAGGTGCTAGTACTGAAAGACTCCAGCCTCAAGCTGGATGCTTTAGATGCGGAAAGACAGGACACATTAAGGCTGAGTGCCCTCTAATCAAGAAGGAAAGAGTATATGCCGCTACCTGGAGTCGAAGCGAAGAACATGAAGATGATAATGAGTCTAATCACAAGTTTAGCTCTTATATGGCCATTGACGAATGTGAAGCCGAAGAATCACATGTAAGATCTTACTACTCTGACTCATGTAGTGAGGATTAATTGTTAGAAGAAACCATTAGGGACATTCAAAAGGAGTTTGTGAATGTGAAGCACAAGTATACCACAATTAAAGTTAGTTATGAAAAATTACAAAGTGATTTTTAAAGACTGATGAATGAGAAATTAAGTGTAGAGAACAAACTTCGAGAACTAATACGTGAAACTGATCTGTTAAAAGGGAAAATGAAGTCACTGAAGCCGAACTAACTCAGATAAAAATGAGAATTAAAGTAAAATCTAAACCTGTCAGAAGAACAATTGTGCATGAAAAACATTAATGCCTTTACTGTCACAAAATTGGTCACTATATTGCTCATTGCAGAAAACGAATAGCCAAAGAGAACATGAAAAAATATTTATGTCATAGCAACATGGAGCATATACATGACATACATACTAAATCATTTCAACCTTGGAGGGTATCTAAGTTTGTACGGATACTCAATACTAAATAATTTTATATGTTCTTGCAGACCTGTCTCCAAGTGAGCATGGAAGACAGCGTTTGGATACTCGATAGTGGATTCTCACATCACATGACGGGTAATAAAAAAAAATATTCTCAAAACTAACCTTCGAAAATAAAGGAAAAGTATTTTTTTGTGATAACTTTAGCACTAAAATCCTAGGGAAAGGTCGAGTGGGAACTGTGTTGTCAATTAGTAATGTTCTATTGGTAAAAGATTTAAAACACAATCTTCTGTCAATTGGTCAGCTGTGTGGGAATGAAAACAGAGTTTTTTTTTTAACAAGAAAAATGCTTTGTTGAAAATATAATGAAACATTTCTAGTTTTCAGTTGACAGAAATGATCAAATTGAGTGGCATGGGACGCTGGGGCACATAAGCATTGGAATTCTTCTGTCAAAACTAGTAAATCTAGGGATTGTTAGAGAAGTTCCAAAACTACTCATCAAGAAGGAGTTCTTCTGTGATGCATGTGCTAATGGAAAGCACACCAGATCATCCTTCAAAACCAAAATTATTATCTCCACTTCTAGACCTCTAGAGGTGTCATATTTAGACTTGTTTGGACCAAGTAATGTCATGAATCTAGAAGGCAAATACTGTGCCTTTGTAATCGTAGATGATTTTTCTAGGTTTACCTGGGTTCTGTTCCTTACAAGCAAGGATGAAGCCAATCAAAACTTCAAGCAATTTGTAAAACGTGTTGAAAAGGGGAAAAAATCAGGTATAGTTAGCATAAGAAGTGATCATGGAGGCGAACTCATCTCTGAAAAAATTGAAATTTTTTGCAACATGAAAGGAATAACTCACAACTTTTCAGCACCTAGAACACCTCAGCAAAATGGTGTTAAATGACTATGGTGTACCAAAACAATTCTGGGAAGAAGCAATTACACCCTATGAGCTTTGGAAGGATAGGAAACCTAATATGAGTTACTTCCATCCCTTCGGATGCAAGTGTCAAATTTGACATATTGAATAGTTTAGAACACAAATGACACTTTTTGAATAGTTTGGGCTTCCTAGTGGAATTAGCCCTATAATGTAATGCTTTCTTCTAAAACTCATCTTAGCTTGTTACACGGCTAACCAAACAAATAGAAGTCAATCTTCAGTTTGATTAGTTAACATAGAAGAGAATCTCATAAACAATCAGCCACAGATTTCATCAAGATAACATCTAATTGTTCAAGAAAGAATCTCGGAAAACTCAATAAGAAATAGGACAAAATTCTACGAAAAATCAGAACACACAGAAGTAAAATTAATGGGTACCATTTCGAAGAAGCTTATGACCAACATGCTTTTCCTTCCTTGTCTATCCATTAAAGACAATGATGGTTCCTGGAGAATGAGTATAAGATCAAATAATTATATGATGGAAATTTAACATGCTTTTCCTTCCTTGTCTAGTACTTATGCAAGTACTTTTAATATTTAGATCCAAGTATAGAAGGAACATAGTCTAAGAAACTGTCATTAAAAAGATGTATAAGGTGGTTAATACATGCCAAACAATTAAACAAATACAACTGTTGATCAGAAAGTACAAGATCAAGAACATTACCTTTGATTTTGCTATATCAGCAGCTTCAGCTCTACTTTTTAGCTCCCCTATTTCAATGAACTCATCTTCAAATTTCACAATATGGTTTCCTGCACGATATAAGATGTATCCGATCAACATACCTACCATCCAGAACAATCCCATCGTGACGATAGCTGACCAATCCCGTTCGCAAAAGAGTTAACATTAAGCTAAAATTCCAGAGCTTCCAAATTTTAAATCAAATCTTCATTGATCTGAATGATGCAACTGACCTGCAAACCATCTTATGCTCTCTAAAAGGATCCTGAAAATCAAGTTTACTCTCAAGTACAAGTGATGTGTCACCTTCCTTATCTTCATGACCATACATGATCAATGGGTCCGATGAGTTGGTCACATCATAAACATTCACCAAAACTTTTTGATTCCTAGCTAGTTTTCCAAGAAAGTTCTCAACCAGGGACTCCACATTAAATGAACCCCCAAGATATCTGTTTTTGTCAATCAGTTATGCACATATTTAGTACATCACTAACCCAAATCTGAAAGTAGCCCTGATACACAAGTCAGTGTTAGCAATTACCCTTCAGTTGCTTCAATTCGATGTTGTACCGCGGAGAATGAAGGAAGCTTGGACTTGTAAACTGGGAATGTCAACACTACACCGAGATGATGGGAGCCAAGTAACTTGAAAGGCTATGTAATCAAAGCTTTCCCTGTAGACTGAGCTCGCAGTATGTTTTCTCTGTCCTCTTGCAAAATAGTTTGGAAGCATACAAGCATTAAGAACTTCCTACCAAAACAATTGAGTGCAGATGGAAAACAATTCAACCGAAAAGGTGAAATGCTAAGTTAATTTATACCTCCCCATACAACATGTCAATGACCGTTCAAATGTTGTTCTGGAAGTGTACTCAGCAAATGTTTCCTGGTGTGAAAATTGGAAGAAATATCAAGCGGATGGCTTTGAGGGTGGGAGCAAAATACGTTTCCTCCTAATTTGCCATCATCGTCCATGTAACTGAAAAGCCACAAAGCAATGCCACAAGTCACCATGACCCACCCTACCCATGCCTTGGGGATCCAATCCATGTCTGTCTGTCTTGAAGCCTATTTGCTACTCATACTCTTGCAGCAAGTGCTGGTTATGAAACTGTCGGCCCCCTTCAAATTACAGAGGAACACATGTAGAGGGACAAAGGCATGTTGTGGGGAAAGATAACCCAGAAAGTTTAAAAACAAGGGAGGAACTAAAAATGGACAGAACGAAAGTTGAAACCTTTCCATAAACACCATCGTACAACTGCCGGAAAGTTTTAAAATGAGGGAGCTGAAAAGCAACAATGGAGAATAATGGACTCAAGCAAGTTCACAAATCTAAAATAGTGGATAAAATTACTTTATGCTTAGCTCTTTTTTTTTAACTCATTATTATATCATGAACCACTACCACACGCTAAAAGATAAGACATGAAACTGAAGTTAAGTCAGTGCATGTATCTCTATTTTAATGACTTGTTGACCAGATTCCAACTCCCTCTCAAGTTGAGGAAGTTCTGGATGCTTGGTTCATTTAGATCATTCCCTCTTAGTTGCATGTCATAATATATCTGTTTAACACATTTAAGCGACTTCACGACTTGCCTACCAGCTTATCCTCATTATGCCTAGCTACATATACATATACCTTAGCTGACGGTTAATCAATTTTGATTCTTCGGGTTGACATTAATTAAGAATGAGTGAATATGTATATGGTGCAGTATCAGTTAGAGGAGGCTAATTTCTTATGTAGTTAAATCCATATCCTACTACCGATTAGTTGAAACTAAAACCTCTTAGTATATATGTATATTGAACATTGCAAGTATATAGATGATAGTATTGAAATGGCAGCATCCACTACATATTTTACACAAATAAAAAACAACTACTAGTTATTGTCCTTTGGGTTTAAATCTTGGGAGTCAAACAACGGTGACCTTGGCGTTCAAAACAATTTATGGAAGAGTGGATAAGAGACAAGCATTCAAACCTCGAATAGTAATGTAATCAGAAATAATGCGAACAATGAAAGAAAATCACAACCAGATGGAGAGGAAGGAAGTAAAGGAATCAATTATATAAATTAATCACTAGTGCTCTTGTACCTCTGCTTCTTCCATTCCCCCAATCCCTCCATGCCCACTCCAACTCCATCTCCAAGCACCAATATGTAATAGACTTGAAAGAGAAAATGGGAAAGGAATATTACTCAGTTTCATCCAATATTATCCTTATAAAAAGTAAGAAGATTATGCCTGAGGCTGAGAGGTTCGGGAAATACCGATCTGGGTGTCAGTGAACCTCCTCTGAGTAGTGAAGCTCGCTCATAGTATGGACGGCGTGAGAAAGCGAGGGTGGCGAGCGTTGGGCTATCGATAAGATATATGATGTACGATCAATTAGAGTTGCAATGTCCGAGGGTGGCGAGCGTTGGTCTATCGATAAGATATATGATACGAATCTACGATCAATTAGAGTTGCAATGTTCGAAGCATGAGTCGAGACGAATAGCGGGAGAAAATCAGTTGAGTAGAAGGTTATAGGAAACGCCGCTTGAATTGAGGTGACAACAAAAATTTCCCCATGATCGAAGGTGTTGCTGCTTCTGACTATCACAGAAGCGGCAGAGAGATCGCCCAAGCCGGTGGAGAGATCAAAGGCGGTGAGGAAGAGTTGACGTGATTGTTAGGGTTAGGGATTTGTTTACGAGAGAACAGAGAGGAAGAGGCTAGAATACTTTTTGTTTTATTTTTTTTAGAGACGAGCAGCTTTTAACCGGTTTTTTAAAATTGAAAACATAAAACGATTTCCTTAACCGCTGGATAGGACTGCTGTTAAACAAAAATTTATAATCGGCAAGGGTTATAGGAACCCCTGATACTAAAGCCCTGCTATATGTATGTTCCCTTGTAGTGGGAAGAAAGTTCAAGGTTCCATTCCCACTTATCATGGTCAAGTGTACTCTCCATACATGCTTTCGACCGATCAACATTCGTGCCAAGGCCCGAGGTCCCAACTCTGAATTTGCCAACGTTACTGTTTTCCAATGAGGAAAATCTTGTTTTTTAAATCAATTAATGCACATTGACTTCATGACCAACGATTGTAAACACGGTTCACTCCTCTCCGAAAAATGTTTGAACGAGGATGTTTGATGTTTGTTATGGTTTTTTTGGGACAAGCTACGTTAAATTACCCGTACTCCTATGGAGGTTCAGTTAGAGCTCCGAAAACTAAGAATACGGCTAATTTTCAGAGAAAATATTAAAGTTTGACATGGTGTGTCCAATGTTTGGTTGTGGAACTCTTGCTTCGTCTTCGTTTCTCCTGTTTATAGCCATTCCTTGTAACCTCCATGTGATTGCTTCTTGTAACCGCTGCCTCCCTTGCTTGGTGCTTGGTTCTTGGTGCTTCTTGCTTGATGTCTTTAACCTCCTTGCTTGGTTGCTGACCACTTGATATCTTGATGGATTGATGGCTTCACTTGACAAGTAGCCACCTTGTGTGGTGGAGGTATCTCGTTTGTATTCATGCTAACCACCCTTGCAGGATGTTATGCTTTGCACTAGGGTGCTTGGAGGGTTGATGGATGCATACTGGCCTCATTTGGGGTGGCATCATGCTTGCAGGGTCTTGACAAGGTGGTCGATCATGTGATGATATACATGGCTGACACTTAGAAACTTAACGACCTTGTCTACCGAGTACCATGCACGACTACGAGGTATAGCATGCCTAACTACTTGGTATGATGGTTTTTTGTGTCTACCACTTTGGCATGGCATCATGCTTGGCACCCTAGTGCTTGACCCCCTTTGTGGTTGGTACGTGGGTGGCTAAATGCTTGACTGCGAGGCCCTCCTTGCATGACTTCATGCTTGACCCCCCCCCCCCCCCGGATGATATCATGCTTGACCTCACTTGCGGTTGGGTCTCAACACTTGGCCAAATTTCACCTCCACCATGCCTACTTGGGTGGTCGACGTTTGACCCCCTTCACGACATCGTGCTCGACCCCCCTTGGATGATGTCATGTTTGACAGGTGGGTGTTTGGTGGATCAAGGGATGTGTGTTGAGGTATCATGTATGAAGCCCAAAATACCATCATTTAGGCCCAGCTCAAACCAATTTAATTAATATAGTTAAGTTGGCCTTATAAACCACTACCACTCCTGTAAAATAATCAATGTGATATCAAGTGATTTTTTAAGTGGTAAACAAATGCCCCCCTCCAACTACTTAGTGTATAAGGATTATGGACTAAGTAGTTTATAGTTTACACCAACTATAACACAAAAACTCTCTTTGGCTTTATTAATTAATTCAAACCATTAGACCCCAATAACCACTCGTGCACATAGCGGCTAACAATGCTTTGCAATTTGAAATTTCTAGAAGTTGCCAAGGCAACTTATCCCACCACCAGCCCAACTACCAAGTCATTTTTATTAGATTTTCCTTAGCCAAACTATTGGCTTTAAGTCGGCCACCAAGTCTCAAATCTCATAGCTTCAATCCTGGCTTGTCATTACCGTCTTTTCACCCAAACACTCTTTGGCCTCGTTTTGGCTTGAGAAGATATTAGCCCAAAGGTAACCCACGACACAAAGCAATGGATTGGCTTAATTGATGAGAAATCCCACATTGCTCTCTTAATTGGACAAATTTGGCTTTAAACACAAATCCATTAACTCAAAATATTTACAATGCCTTAGTAATAAATTTTCTCTATTGTTAGATAGAGTGTGATACCAACCTGCTTGGCTATACTGCCCCCAACTATCATTATCATATTGTCGACCCAACATACCCTCTGTGTCATGGCTAGCTATGCAAGCCATGTCTACCAAAAGGGTGTCGTGCCATGCCTTAGGGTGTGGGATGCTTGGCATGCTGTCCATTATGGTGGCCGACTAACATCGAAACCGCTGACACTCCATGTCCCAAAGCGAAGGGACGTAAGGTTTGAGATACTTGCCATTGATCAATCGATCATGAAACACACCATCTAGATCTTTTAACAAGTAAGCTCCATTGGACCGGGTGGCATGCACTATGAAGGGTCCATGCTAGTTGGGAGACCACTTGCCAAACTTGGGATCCTTATCCCTAATGGTAAGTGTAGTTTCCATACTAGCTCTACTTCTGCAAATGACTTGTGCCCGAATCTCTTATTGTAAGAACGAGCCACCTTATCCTTTTGCACCTTTATGTTATCGAGTTCTTTGAGTTGAAACTCATCAAGATCACACAATTCCAACATCAAGGACTCATAGTACTCTGAGGGTGTTAGCTCATGTACCTCAATGACTCTACTGTTATTTCGAGTGGCAGAATGGCCTCATGGCCATATGTCAAAGAGAAAGGGGTCACCTTTGTACTACTATGTGGTGACATATGATAAGCCCATAAGGCTTCCAATAAGACTTCATGCCACTTTCTCGGGTTATCTTCAATCATCTTAGACAATATAACCTTTAATACCTTATTGGATGCTTCAGCTTGACCATTGGCTTGTGCATAGTTGGGAGTGGAGTGTATGATCTTGATGTCGTGTTCCTCGGCAAAAGCCATCACTTCCCCTCCTGTGAACACGGTACCCTAGTCACCTGTTATGGTGGCTGGCAAGCCAAACCGATGTATTATATTCTCTTTGATGAACTTGATGACTTTTCCTTGATTAACCACTGTCATTCGCTTAGCCTCCACCCACTTGGTGAAGTAATCAGTTGTCAGGATGACAAAAGTGTGTCTATCAGAAGATGGTGGATAGATCTTTCCAATCAAGTCCATGGCCCCATCCAAAGAAAGGTTAAGTTTTGATGATAGACTTCAAGT